TATTAAGGACTTTAAAGACGATATGAGGATCTGGATCTCAGACTGAATTCAGGTATCCGAACCGTAATAAGATTTATCTCATTGAAGGTAGTTTTATTTATCTGTGATTTAGTTTTCTACACCGTTCAACTTCTTTAAATATGAAAAGGGAATACTGACCAAATAAACTACATGTAAGCTACCATTTGAAATTTAGACAGAAAACATTGAAAAAAGGTATGTTCGACTTCAGAAATAAGTAAAGACTTATTCTATTTCACTGTATATGAGAGGTTTATTGATAAACTTTTGTTATCAATATGCAAGTAACTTGTCAACTTTTTTTGACTGATGACAAAGTAAACTTTCAACATTTCATTTGTGTTCAGCTCTATCTGATGCTTGATGAATATGCTTGAAGTTGTTACACGACCTAACTCAATTGTAATTCATACATCAGACAGCTAACACTTACACATCCCAGTCTACAAATACAGACTCAGGTCAGACAGGAAACATTCAAAAATAACATTGATAATTTGTCATTTCTAATAAATTAAACAGCTAATTTATTTGTTTTAATTGAAATTTAAAAGGTGGAAGCATATCAGTTGAAAAACATTGATTCCAATCATCTCGTTTTAATTGTCGATATTGCTCTGTGTACTACTTTAGCCTCAATCAAGATGTACTGAAAGATGACAGGTTTCGTAAATTAAACAATAAAAAAAACAGTCAGACAATTTCTTTGTCATCTGCTTAAGTTGGTGTTTTGCATAAGAAGTAGGAATAAACTAATCGATTCAATTGTGGGTTTTTTTTATCTACTTACAAGTGAAAGGAACTTGAGTATGAGTTGATTTTAAGATATTTTTAAAGTGTCAGGATTATTCTGTTTTCTTCAAGCAATGCCTAACCTAAGAACAGATGTACATATTTTTCATTAATAAAGGAAAATATTTCCATCAAAGGTTTTCGATGTTCAAAATATGTTGGTAAACACTGCGATATGATGCTGGAAATGGTCAGCAGAGAATTATTACCTCACAAAGAAGTGAAGCAAACTGAGTATGCTTTGCATATTCATGACGTGCTGCATTGACTGATTCCAACCAGATTGGCCATTTTGTAAGTCTACAGGCTTGGTTGGGTCTACGTAAGCCAACTTGGTATAACTGAACTGTAATCGCATCTACAGTTGTATTGAATGTATCAGTCATCGAGTCATCATCAAGCAGAAATTACGTTTACCATACTTAGACAATGTATATATCGCCTTTAATGCAAACGACGTTGAAGCTAACCAAAGCCTGAAGCACATTGGTTTACAAAGTATGCCGAAACTCAAATCTACAGATAAAACTCCAAGTATATGAGACTGAGAATAACAAAAATGACCGTAATAATATAGATATTTGAACATCTTATGAGAACAGTTTTATGATCAAATCATTTGGACAGGGGTTCTTCATAACAGTCGCCATCTGGAAAATTAGATTAATTAGGGTTTGTAACGAAGAAGTTGACACCCACTTCATCTTTCAACAGACCATGAAGGCATGGCAGACTGTGGCTAGATTGCTGTATCCTAATTGGATTTGATTATTACAATAATCTCTTCAATATATCCGATCATCTTCATCAAGATCACGAAGGAAGGTGAAATCGGTCGAACGAAGTAGAGGTAGAAGTAGAAAGTAGTAAGAGAGAGAAAGGAGGAGTGCGAAAATGATGAGATAAAGATGAAGATAATGTGTGCATAAATCTGTGCCACTGACGTCGATTCTGAGCCATATTACCCACAGTCTCCAACCATTAGTTTTTCCTATCCCACGGAACCCAACCGGCTTGTATGCATCGCCCTACGAACGGTCAATAACTTCATTCCTTAATGTTATGTTTTAGTCTTCCCATCCAGAGCTGTTTTCCAGCCTGAGCCTACTTCAGCCAACACTGTGTGACGAGGTAGATGGTGGCTAAACATACGTAACACATGTCCAGCCGCCTCAGTCGATGAAGGTTCACAACTGCATCCACTGTTTTACCTCTCCTGCCTAAAACTCTACGTCTGACTTCTGCGTTACTCATGTGGTGACACCACCAAACACAACCTATACCAGGAAGGCAGACGTGGTTAAACACCGGACGCCTTCTCATGTCTTCTACCTTTAATGTGCATGTTTCACAGGTAAACAGTAGAACAGAGCTAAGTGAAGTCGATACATTTGATATGGACCAAACGGCAGTAATGGAGTCTGTGAAACCTATACAAAACAATCTTCGCCACATTTTTGTCTATGTTGTGTTTGACTGTGAAAACACAGTAAAAGATTTTGGATAACCAAGTACTGCGTCAGAGGATTCTGAGAAGCAAGGTAACTGGAAATTGCATGTTAACTTGACAACATTTATCTTGGTAGTTTCCGTGTAGTGACTAATTTACTTGTAGTAAAAATGTTCGATCTTCTTGTCACAGAAGTAACTGCAATGCATATGAAGTATATTCTTCAACGAATTGCAACACATGTGATTCATTCAAATTAGGGATTATTTTGTTGCTCATAGAATTTCTTTTATTTGCTGAATACGTTTTTATAAAAGTTAGGCTAGGGGTCGAATGCAAAGTGAAACTGTTCAACTCTTCTAGGAGTCTCTGAGTCCTACTTGTATTTATTTTACCATAAAGGTTTTTAATCTGGGGATTCTTGTACCAAGTTCTTGTAGATGTGAAAGTGTTTAATTTACAGAACATGTACTAGAAGTTAGATATATTTTGTTTGCAATATTCTTCCTAGTACTTAGTAAATTCTCCTCACTGGTTGTTCACAGTGATTTTGACTGACTTTACTTGATTCAATATGCTTCAAGAGACCTTAAGAATTTGAATGTTCATGATGTTCAAATATACAAGGTGCTCAGGAATGTTAGTTGTGTCTTTGGTACTAGTGTGATGCTAAAAAAAATGAACCTGTTAGAGAAATTGACTGTTTCAGGAACAAATATTTTCGAAACGAGTAAAAAGAACACTGAAGAAAACCGTAGGTGCAGGCAGTTACTTATTGCTTCAGATGATGCCGTTATGACGTGACAATAGTCCAGTATAAGGAGTTGCACTTGTTTCTGCCCTACGTAGCATCTAGATATGGGTTACTGATCACATTTTATGTAAATAAGGATAAATTTCATCTCTCTTTGCCTCCTCCCAGTTCCTTATAACATTCTGATTGCCTCACAGAAGAACGTTTTCATGCTAAAGTCAAAATTAATGAATGATGAATAAAGTCGTTACAATTTACTAGGCCGATTGTGATAAATCACTTAAATAGGAAACTAGGTGATGTAGACTAGTAGTAAACAAGCCATCGATGAGATCACTCAGGAATGTTTCCGAATTAGTTATAATCTCGTCATACTTATTCTCACATCATTAGATGTGATTGACTGTTGGCTTCATATATGTTAGCAAATGATTTATCTTTCTGACCACTACTACTGCTGCTAATGCTACACAACAACCTTGTCACGTGTCGAAATGCCACATGAAATAGTGATCGTGAGAGAGACAGAAAACTGAAACAAATATAAAAATCGGTTAGTCGTACAATCATGACTTTTTGACTATCAGACGTGATAGGTATGTTTTGTGTTTTTGTATATACTTTATTATCGATTATGAACACTTAGCCATTGAAATGTAACAATTCACTCTGGTAAACTCTGTGACTTTTATAGGTTTTCCTAGAATAGTTGCCATAACTTATTCTGATCAATGATTTCTGCATGTTTTGCTTCATCTGTATGCGTGTAGTACACTGCCAAATTCTTATTGAACCATAACAAATGAAATATACCTGTACCACAGGCCTAAAAGGGACTCTTTCATTCTAGTGATCAAAACGTGACCTTTAGAATATTTTAATAGATCGAATTTTTCTCTACGCAGGCGTGACTGTGTTTGTAACCAAAACACCAGTTTATTGTACTGAAACTTGATATTTCGGTAACCAGAGATGTACACTTCACCTAGAGCCACCTTGATGGCCTAACTCCTTTCGTAACTCCCATAGTTTACCTCTGAATTAAAATAGAGTGGAATGACTGACCATAGATTGTTAATCACCTGTTAGTTGAATTGCTTAGATTACCACTACGTGTCTGGTTGCATGAAAATTATCATCGACTCTTCTTTTATGGTTAACCACACTCCATTGGGACGACGCCTTGATAAATTTCTGACTTCATGAATCCCGTGCGTGTTTATTTTCATTCATGTAGTCATTACTTTTTATGAGCGCTGATCCATAAGCTGTAAAGTAATCGGGAAACGGATGGTTGTAATCAGCCTTCTTTCAAGACCATCCTTATGAGGCTAATTTGAGAATCACGTCTGTTAGGTAAGTTGTTGTGATCATTCTGGGTGTTGAGGTGATCATGTCATGTGTGGAGCTCAGCAGCAACATATTTTGATTTGAAAACTTTGCTTCACGAAGTAAACCACAGTTTGATTTACCTCTCATGTCACAGACAATTGTGTTCTCTAATTAAACCGCGTCTTTAGGAGAAATAAAAGTAACACGTTTAGATCAGAGTTTGACTTGATAGTGTACAGAGAGTTAAGCATCGTATGGTTGGTATTTCCTTTAAGGTGTGATTTAACCTAACATGGTTGTATGAATCCACCTTGGTGACTAGCAGTGATATCCAGGATACGCGTTTCGTCCTATTCAGGACTCTTTACTTCGATGCACCTGATGCACCCGATGCATCCTGACTCTGACATTGTCATCTGTGCCGCCGCCGCCGCCTGCAGTTGAAACAATGCTGCCTGGGTAGGTAGGTAGATAGGTGAAAGAGACAACTTCCTCTAGATTTATCCCGTTCATGGTGATTGGTGCTTGTTGTTCATGCTGTTATTAGTTTGGTATCTTCATCACCTCTGTCTTCTCTACGTTCACTTGAAGTTCCGTTTTCGCTGCCCTGCCTTGCCTCTTCTGCCAACTTGTAAGTTTTCGCCTGTAGATCTTCGAGTTTGTGCGACAAGGCATTAGACATAAATCATCATCGTTGGCGAAATTCAAATCTTCTGGTGTCTTTTCATTGGTCAAACAGCGTATGCCCATCTTCTCACAGCTTCTCACAGTTGTCTGTTGGATGAACCAATCCAGTCGAGTTGACCAGAGTCAGAAAGATGATCGTTGATAGTAGGCGGCAACCTTGTCTTACTCCTGTCCCTTGTCTTCACTTCGAAGACGTCACTGAACTGAGCTTTTCATTGTGAATCACCTGGCATATAGCATCATGCATCATGTAGCTGTTGAATGAGGTTGGTGACAGTTTGTGGCACTAAAACCGTATTGCTGAAGCAGCTGCCAAATTACTTGTGGGTCGACGCTGTCGAAGGCCATTTCAAAGTCGATGAAGTTGAGGTAAAGAGTTGACAGGATTTTACATAAAATGCTTTAATTCGATTGAAAGTAATGTAAATTATACTTCTACACCTTATAGGTTACCCGGTGCATATGGCTAAAATAGGTCAGGGTATTCAAATTGCCCTGTCGTGGGTTCCAGGAAAAAATGGAAGTATTTCACCGGGGGCAATCAGTGTTGAGAATGATATCTATGTGGCTCGCAGAAAATACGAGGATGAATGGATTCCTGGAAAGCTTGTAACAGGATATCAAACATGTTACTGTCCATTAGATGGCAGAGAGTTAGAATCGTCGGAGTATGAAGTTCTATGTGACACTTGCCTTCCTAACTCAAAAAAATGGTAAATTTGACGTTTTTCGAGATGTTTATATATATATATATATATATATATATATATATATATATATATATATATATATAAAGTCACCTTCATCAGTTTCGAAAATACAACAAGAAGACTTGATTTGTATGAAACATCCAATATACAAACGTGTCACAGGTATTCATAGGAAAGATAATCGCGAATTTATGATGAGCGATTGTAGTCGAACTTTAAGGTCAAACTGAAGGCGAAAGTAATGGTGAAAATCAGTTGTTCAAAGATGAACCACTAACTTAAACTTTCTACTGACTAAGGCGTTGAAAAATTCCAGGATATATACCACACCGCGAAACAAGTGGGTTTTGTATCATGAATTAACTCCCATCTTATGGCCTGTCTTTGTAACTTGTTTTGCTATATAGAGACTCAGACGTTTTCACCAGTATCGATGGTGACAGGCAAATGACTCTGTCTCTGAAGCTGATCAAAATGATTTTCTGAGACACTTACGTGCATAAATTGATCCTTATTTCCTAGGTTACTTCATTTATGGTTCGGATACCATAAGCTTTTCGTGTGCAGAAAAGAAATTCATAGGTGGCACAATCGGTAATTTTCTCCATTATCAATATATGTTTACCCATCTTAAGGGTATTCATGGAATTATCTTAGCAACACTGAATATTATGGGAATGTATACTGTCAAAGTTAAATTTTCCACTGTTTGTACATACTAGTGGCAAGGTATAGAGACCGATAGAAAAATATTGTTCGTAAAAGGGTAATTACACTAAAGACAAAGTTCACTTATCAGAGAAACATTAGCATACAAAGAATTAACATGAAATGAATACATGGTCACCATAGTGTAGAAATCACTGGGGCGGTTAACCAGTTCACGTGTACCTTTTGTAGTTAACGATTTGTTTATAAATGAGAACAGTACTGGGAACAATAAATACACCACGGATTTAAAACACTCAAATTAGTGGCAAGTTCTCCACAATTTGACCATATATATTCATATCCTCATTTTACAAAACTGTGTACATGTAAATGATGATTCTTGTTTTTTTAGTTATGCTTGGGAAAAAGCATCAGGTGGTGAGGTGCCAAAAAAGGCTATAGTTGCCGGGATTTCTAACGGTAAACCACTCTACATTGCAAAAGGTCCAGTGTATGAAGAAATGTGTGTCGGGAAGGTTAGTTAATCATACACTTTATATGATATTTGAATTTCCCTTGAAATAATATTCATTTATTATTGTAAAGTGTGAGCATACGTCATTACTGGTGATGCATTGCCATTTATTCTAGGCATGTTGAAAAGTGAGTGTTCGTTACCTGTTTTCAGCTGAAAAACCGTCAAATTCCTAAATATGCCTCTTTCGAATAGACTATCTACCACTAAGTTAATGATAACTATTCACACCTTACGTATGTTTTCGTTGTTCACTCACTGTAATTAACATTTACAAAAAGCACTTCTCCTTTGAGTCAACACTCGTGCTACTCAGCTCTTCAAAAACGCCGAAAACAGTAGAGTGGAAGAAGTCGCTTAAACCTTATTGTTTCTGCATGCTATCGTGGTATTGTGAACAAATCAATCTCACAAATGGGGAATTTAGAAGCCGATACACAGAGAATGATTTGTAGTGAATAAAACAACTCAGGTGTTCACTGGACTCAAAACCTTGTCTGTGCAAACGTTAGACAGACTGAGCATGTTGGCATCATACATCAACAGTTTTCTTTCGAATTCATTCCTCAACTAGTATGTTGGAGTGGTTAGTCATGAAATTCCTCCTACAATTATGAACGACACTTCAGGAGTGGTGTAAGACTGTTGCCTTGATTTACACTCCCCACAAACTCTGCAGCATTCTTGTCACATGTTAGGAGTGATAGAAATGTGTCTGTAGATTGGTTTGCAGTATCACGAATCGTGGTTAAGAATTATCATATCACCTGGAAGCTGATGGATTACTGCAGTGTAATCCATATTATGATGCGGTGAACTAACTCTTCATTTGTGTAGGTGAAGGTGGACAATATGCATGGTTGTCAAAGGACAGGTGTCCAGTGACCTTTCTGTGAGAACCAAAGACAGAGTTATATACATGCTTTCTTTTTGTGATATCCGAGAGAAACTCTTTGTAAGGAAAGACCGTTACTTAGAACGATTAACAATTGCAGTCCCCACTGACATTTTTCACCGCTGAGTAGTTCCTCAACTGTTTGATTGTGGTATCTATAGTGTTTCTGTTAGAAATGACTTTGCCAAAATCGCATAATGTGGTCTCTTACACGAAAGGCGATGAACTGACAAATTTATACTACTGAGTAACATGAGTGTTTGGAAGCCACTAACGCTGGTCTACTTATTCTACTGTGCATGCAATGTACAGTGAATTGTGCTCTAAGTTGTAAGCTGTATTCGATCACTTATCGTTTACAACATATTTCTGTACTTAATACAATCATCGTGTACATTAGAGATGAAGTGTCTATAGTCTAATCTGTGCTGATGAAATCACGATGATGACTAATAATCACGAAAGACTTTTTTTATTGCTTCGAGGAGAGTAGGTTGAAGAAAGGCAAAGAGATCAAGTTTAGCTGTGAGCAGTGTTGTGTATTCCCTTATGAAGAAAAGGCAGCCTCAATGATTTCTGTGGTTTATAGACACTGAAGATGTCAAGAGCATGTGTATTGGAATTATGAGTTACAAGTGTGCCTCCTGACTCATATTAAAGTCAAGATATTTTGCTACGAATTCAAAGATTTCCACAAGACGTCCAACTCTGAGTTAGTTTCAAATTGAAGTAAATACGCCTGGAATCACTATTTGCTGATGGCTGATCTAACATCTGTTTACATGAAAGTTGTGTGTTTTCATTTAACACTCTTATGTTAGAAGTAGAATGCGTATGAAATCAAAGTACAATAATCTGATGTCGACTGAAGCGTGAAATACCCTCCATTCTGCATTTCCTTAGACATCTGTATATAAAAACGACTGTCAGTAAGTCGATAATATTCCGTGGATTATAAGCATCTAAAACCATGTACAGGTCACAATGAGATCCACTTGCTGAAGCTGTCGAATACATTCTAAACTTACTTGTTAGAAGTTACTAAACAGTATGAAATGAACAGTGTGATTTCGATTGTTTTTCCAGTGATATTTCTTCATACATAATAGTTTCGATTCAAAACAGCTTTCCAGTGGGTCTCCACAAAAGCCTTCGCTGATTTTTACTTGCAAGCAAGAATAAGTTGTTAATATCGTCAAACCAAAAGCCAAAACCAAAGGCTTCTTATATTTAGTCTCAAGCTATTCAGTAGTTTCGCACATAAGGAATCGCTTATTTTCATCTTCGCATAATATGTCCAACAACTAGCCTAGTTCTCTCTGTGTATCGGTCAACTTCTTAACCTGATCGTTAGACATGCAACAGTGGTTCAAGTATAATCGGTTTCCGCTGATGAACTTACGTCGTTACACTTCTTAAAAAGATCATCTTCATGTAACCCGTTCTCCATCAATTAACACACATGCCTAAGCTGCATATCATCGAAATTGTCTCAAATCAGTTCAGCGGCCGCCCTGTTTAAACTTATGGTTTTGATAATAAAAATCACAATTGAGAAATTTCATCTTTCGTTTTCAAAGTCTTAATATTTACCATAAAAGTATCCAACCACTAAAGAAACACTAACGCTCTCTATTAATACTGTGCACTCAGGTACAAGAAGGCCAAGAATTTGCTTGTCTTCCATGGGGTGGTGAGGAACATCGTGTCAAGGATTATGAAGTTCTTGTTTTCAAGAAGAAATGAATCGTAAACTTCTGATTGACGTGATTACAAATATATATATTCATCATGTTAAAACAACTTCAAAGAATGATGTATTTCTCATCAATACAACATCAGTTCAATAATCAAAAAGATCATTTTATGTCTTGTATCGTTAGTAGACAAAGCGCGTGAACAGACACAAATCATCATGTGGCTAGGATTCGATAGAACATCAATTGAGGGATCATTCTATACTTGACAAAGTTGTGCAACCAATTCGCTGAATGTGGAGATACAAAGTTGATTCATAGCCTTATATCATGTATTGACGTGTGTGTATTCTGCATTGATACCTCAGTAGAGTGTTCAATTTCATGATTCTTTTATAAAACTGATTAAATTCTATTATTTCGACCTGATGGTTCGTGATTTATTTATTTATTTTAGGTTGGAATTCATCATGAACTGTTATCAGTCTGGGGAAAAGTGGAAACTTGTTAAGACTAGATAGATTTTTCTTCCTAGAATGTGACACCTTAGCAGTGCACACCCACGAGGCCGCCCACCAGGGATCGGACCCAGGACCTTCTGGTTCTGTGGCCGTCACGTTACCATTGAGCCATTGGGTTGAAATCCAGTGTTTCATATTTCCTACTTCTGTCAGCTCATTATATGGCGTGGCTTACATCCAATGTCATCGTTGAGTAACTGTTCTCATGTTCGGCTTGAGTATAGAATTTTACTGGATACCTTCATTTTCATTTTAATCATTTACTGTTTTGTGAAATTGATTGGCATAAATCATGGATCATTCATCTTATATCCTTATTGGTTACAAGTCATTGATTCATGGATGTACAAAATATCTGAAATTCGCATGTCATCAGTTTTCTTAGCCTCTTTCCATCTAGCTAACTGTGTCTGGAATTCAGAAACGTCATTTCCTAACCTGTATAATAATGGCTATTATGATAGTATTCAGTTGGATCATTTAAGAAAGCAGCAACACTACAGTTATTAGAATGTATTGGCAAGGTGTATTAGAAAATCTTTTCAGTTTTCAACTTTGCAATGAGAGTAATGAACATCATTGATAGAAGTGCAAGCGAGCGCTAGACGGAACTAAAAATACTACTCTGCTGATGGATTTAATTAGGAACAGTTCAGGCTGAAAATGTTTTGACTTGGTCACTAAACATACTACTACGATACATTCAAAGGAATGCTATTTGAGTAACTGAAAAGTTTCGATACACATCTGAGACATTTATTTTTGGAAACAGTATAAATTACACTGTTACTTTATTTTATGATGATAACTAGTCAATTGTCTCAACCACGTATTCATGAGTTGTGCTTTCAAATCAATTTCTGCGTGAAAAACCTGGTGTACAATCATAAATCACCTACCTGTGACAACCATTCTACTTGAGTTTCCAAAACTTAACCTCACTGTTATGGTAAAATTAAACTACACAACTGAAGTTATCACTTTACCTGTATTTGCAACTTATTTATAACAAGTCAACGACACAATAAATCACAATCTAAGAGTCAGCTGAATAATCAACTGTTTGGTCTATAGGGAAGGTTAAATGTTCTTTTAAGCGACGTTTATTCCCACTCGATATGACTCTTCAGGATTTAAAGCCATAAAAGTCGACATTTAATATCCAGTTAATTACTTTCCAACAATTCAGTGGTCCAGACGTGTGATGCTAGGAGAAGTTGAACCAGTGGTCAGATCAAGGCATGGCATTAGTCAATGAAGTTTCTGACTGCCGGTCTGAAGTGTGCTGGAATATGTAGGCTATCTGGTTGGGGTTCAAGAGACAATAGGGATCAGTGGTTGAGAATAGCTCGTTCTGTCCTGTTTTACATCTGTAAAATGTGGACATTAAAAGTGGAAGATATGAAGCGATTACAGGGTTTCGATCACAGGCGTCTTAGTAGCATTACTCACATTTGGTGGAATCACCATATGAGCAATGGTGAGGTCAGGTGGAAAGTAGTAGGGATGATAAATAAGTCCATTGAGGAAGTTGTGAACCTTTATCGACTGAGGTGGCTTATACATATGTTGCCTATGTCGAGTCACCGCCTACCTCTATGTGTCATGCTAGGGGAAGCTGGGTTGGGTTGGAAGAGGCTTCAAGGTGGGCATACTAAAAAGTGGCACGAGTCTGACTGTCGATCTGAGTCTTGTGTTGTGATTCAGACTACATGGCTGGGGTCCTCGAAACAACATGAATCAGTGGTTGGGGACTGTTGGAGATATGACTGGAAACTGGTCCCAGTGGCACAGATGTATTTACTCTTTGACATCTTCTGAAGCTTGAATATTTGCACTAGCCTTTGTCTTCAAATTTTTTATTCTGTCACGCAACTTTGTCTACTTCGATATCAGAACAGGTTGAGACCTGTTCTTTGTATACTCCTGTGAAGTGTGACAACTTGAATCGATGCACGTGCTTGAAAACTTCCACATTCATCTTCTCTGTCTGTCTGGTGTACGACCAGAGCTGATGAATTCGCCCAACTTGTTTATGAAACGCCTACGACCAAATATCATAACTTTAAGAAAAACAAACAATCATTACCAACAGTTTTGTGTCCAAAGTTGGATTTTATTGATATTTTGTGATTAGTACTTAGCATAGTCCAAAAACGACTTTGTTGACTGGATCTTCTATTAGACGAAGATATTAATTTACTAATATACGTTTCAACTATGAATACCTTTTTTCTACTACTTTAGCAGTGCACGGATAATCACTATGTTATGCATTCCGACAGATATGGTCTAAACAAAGATGATAACAAATTGAATCTCATTTCACGTAAATAATTATGAATAGAAATCTTTCTCTTAAAGTGATAATGACATCATTATTAATTCTGGCAGTCGAATCGGGTAGATAATTGGCACACAAACAGGGGGTGAGTTTTGGCCTGAACAAATTATCAGTAAAGCTAGTGATTTCAACAGCATTTCTTACTGATGATGAATACGAGTATACACAAAGTGAAAGCAGTCTGCTAATTAGAATCTACCTTTTACCAATGATATCACTAGTTTCTCGCTCAAACTGGGAACTATGATTGACATTTGAATATGGAGTATAATAACGACAGAGGAATAAAGATAAACGCTGCTGAAACTATTCACTATATTCGTATCGATCCTCTGTCTAAACTTTGATGCTGTAACCATGCATCTCCATCAGTGATCGCATTGAGATGATTAACAGCTATTAGCATAGAGGCTCCTGTACGAATGCCTTGGTATTGGCAGTATTTTTAAATGTGATATTAATAATGAATAGTGGCTAGCAGTGGGATCCCGGTGGCGTGTTTTTTCCTATTTAAGACTCATCAGTCGAATGTACCTGCTTTCCGGTGGGTGATATTTTTCCCACTAAGAGTCGAATTCCGGACCTATCGCATGACGTACCAGCGCGTTATCCACTAGGCCACCGAGTCACGAGTTACTGCTAACCCTATCCATCAATAATACCAAATTAAAAAATACCAACAATATTGAGGTCTTCGCACAGGACCCCGTTTGTCAACAATAGGAGATCATTTCCGTCCTATCGATGACAGAGATGCACAGCTCTTATACCAAAGATTTTATTATACCTATCGTACAAGGAGCGACCATCCTGACTCACTGACCTATTGGATAACGCGCCGGCAGTTGACACGATCGGTGCTGGTTTCGATTCTTAGTGGGAATAATATCATCTACCGAAAATAAGCACATTCAGCTGACGAGTCTCAAACAGGACGAAACGCGCTCCCTGGTTTCCACTGCTATCCACTACCCACTAATAAGATCCTTTATCTATTCATTCAATCAAAAGTATTTACCATTGTTAGTAAATCACCTTATGTGGCTGCTTTCCGTGTATTCCGTGTACTATATACAAAAATAGTTGTTTATTCATAGGTTAACATGTGTAACAGAGTTTCTAAGTAAAACTTACTAATATATTTTTGGTGAATGTAGGTTATCAGGCAAAAAATAAGCACTAAAATGACTTTGAAATATTGAATTAATGCAGAAGGATACAAAAGTAAAAGTATTGTGATATTTTTTTTATAATGATTTCAAGATTCATAATATAAGACTATCATATTGGTTTTCTGTTGGCTTAGAAATACTTCATGAATACGTTTGGTTCAATGAACAACCGATATACACATTTTTCATTGTTGTATATGCACAAAAAGCAAGTTCTAAGGAATCAATGAATGTATGAATAGATATTTCTCTCATAACTTAGATTAACCATGGTACTGGTTTTGAAAAAAAAGATTTCTAAATCAGATAACTACATAAACAAGAAATGTTCTCGGAACAACGTAATCCAATCAATCATAAGTAGACGGCGTACAAGAAGAGAAGCTTAAATTTCTATGAATATTTTGCAAAGTAAGAATAGTAAGTAGTTGTCTATAACACGAAGAAGATGCTCAAAGAAACTAATTTAGATGTCAGACCTGCTTATATTACCTCCAGTTTTATCTATTTATTAACCTTTGCATGCAGTAGAATGTATATCAGAAGAACAGAGAGGGTTCTTACTAAAAGAATCTCTGACCATGTGCTGTTAAAGCCTGTCATTGAAAGGTGCAAGGTTACATGGCAGTGTCATTGATAAACACATCCTCTATACAGGGAATGCCGTTGATTCAGGAATAGCTTTCAAGGTAATCAATAGACAAAGAAATAGTACATTGTTACGTTATGCAGAAGTAGCAGCAATCCGTTAACTGAAACCAAAGTTATGTGCACCTTGCGTTGCCTTGGTGGATTGTCCTTTTCCTACGTCTTTATTTACCATTTTATTCTATCATTTTTTGGCCTTACAAATTATTTTTAAATGTTATTCATATTCCCATCGTTTTCGATTTACTTCGGTCCATTATAAGCCATTAATCATGGTTTTTATCGCATGGTATCCTCTTTCTTTATCATGAATTCATTTACTTTGGACCCCATTTTTGTTGTTCTCTCCGTTTTATTAGAATTC